GCCCGCCCGCGGGGCCAGGGCGGCGCGGCGCAATTTGTGCCGCTAACAATCGTTAATGAATTGATCTCTTTCGTAGCGAACTTTCTCCCCGGCTCTATTTCGCATCGAGCGTGTCCCAGCGAACGAAGACGGGCTTTCATTAGCGTTTTGCGTATTCATAGGACGGGGCCTCGAGTTAGTCACGACCGACAAGGTAATCACGAGGCTAGGCTGCAGTATCGCGGTAATGCGAGAATCCATTATGGAAACATGAATGTTGCCTGGGAATTCTGCAGGGAGCCCGTGCCTTTCGTTTGGAATATGAGATGGAGGGCGCAGGGTGCGGGCCGCGGGCCGCAAATCCAAGGCGCGGGAATGGGAAGGCACGAGGACCATCCTCTGCGGACGAGCGGACTCGGAATAACTCCCTGCGAGACTGCAGTGGCATGTTAGAAATTTGTCTCTGGGACTGTTTCAGAATGATCGTCGGTCTCGTGTAATGTTATCTTATATTTTCATATTGTGTAATTATCTCGGTAAACGCCTCGTGGTGCAAAAGCAATACAATTTTTATTGTGAAGTCATATATCAAATTTATTTTATTTATAACTTATGTTATGACATAGGTTCATCCAAAGACGTTCAAAATTAGAATCGGGATCTATTAAATTGAACCAACGAAGATTCTTTAGTAGGGTTCGTTGGTGCAATTTAATAGCCATAGGCGAAGAGACAGTAGAACCCCGGTAATCTGAACTAATTGGGGAAGGGGTGTTCTGTTCGTATTCAGAAAGGTTCGGATTATCCGAAAGATGTACCGTACATATACAAATACATCTATATCAGACGCAATGCAACGCAGCGTGCGATGTGAGAAAATGGCAACGTAGCTAGTGATCGCATCATGACATCACATCATCAAGCATATTTCGTCCCTTACGGCAGAAGATTACCGATTTTCTAAGTTCCTCTATGTGATAATTACTGCTATATAAACATGTGATATGCACAGTTGTTGCCCGTTGGCAAGAAGAAGCAATGTGAGAGAATTTTCGGGCCTTAAGTGGAAATGTCAAGCGGAGCATTTACACAGAATTATTAGTTGCATTAGGTAAATAATCATTTATTAGGTAAGTAATATCAGTTGAAGTTGTATAAAATAGTAGTTCCGTGAAGCTATTCAGTTAATCGAACAGCACTGTTTTGTGAATTTGTGAGAGCCTTATGAGAAGAGATTTAAACTTTGGATGCACGAAAGAGAAACATGAATGACATGGCATTGTCTCTTCATTCTTATTCTGCCGGTAACTTTCTGTGAACGTGAGTTGCTTGCAACGAAATGCATCCTGCCCAGAGGTTGTTCACTCCGTGTACTGTTCGTCTGAAATTCAGTCGAATTGTGTCCGAATCACGAAAGCAGCGTTATCAATCGGATAGGGCCGAATGGCAAAAACGTTTTTGACGTTGCCACATCTCTGAAGAAAATACTCAAAACATTTTACAGGTGCATTTTGCGTATGGTTCGGAGCGGCGTAGATTTTTCTTTAGGATTTGCTGCTACCATTAATTCGAATTTCCCCCTCAAGCGGCGGTATTGCGAATAGCACATTTATGGTAAAATGACTAAAAGTCTTATACGGTGGGTGAAGTTCGACTTGGACCGTACCGAAACGGATGAATGATCAGACATAACTGCAGTGGCGATTTTGTATGAACTTAAAAGGATCGGGGGATGAAAGTTGGATCCGGGTACATTTGAATGATGAATATGATGATTTGCGCAGGAGATAGTCAATTACTACTGAAATTCAAACTTGTTCTAAAGTGTGTATTTCAGTGAGATGATTAGAACATAATCAAATGGTATGAGTGGCCACTTTCCCTCACTCGAGATCTGCGAAGTGCCGTGCGGACCCTGACTGCTTATTGGCTGCTGTGCTGAAAGAAACGCAGTGTTATCCGCTTTGCCGTGCAAAATGGGCGAATTGGGAAAGCGGGTTCTTTTGGGTAGCGTGTCGGCGTCGCCAGTAGCCGTATGTTTTTTTATATAGGAAAGACCGCAGAACGAAGAATGTTAAGCGCGGTTTCCAATTGGGATTAATGAGCGGCGGGCCGGCAGTTAAGCCTACTTGACCTAATCCAACGCCGCCGCCCGCGCCTCCCGCGTCCTGGCGCATGACGTCGCCCGTTTCAGCTTCCGCCGCCCCGCCCCCGCGCCAGCGCCCGCGCCCCTGTGGCGTCGGTCTGTGCCTTCAGCGGGCTCTGGCCCCAACAGCCCATAACGATTCATTGAAGTGCATGTTCAACAAACGCAGCGCCAATTTTTCTTCCTCCGCTTCAATTTTTAGCCGTTCTTTTCGCTAGTGCCATGTGCCAGATAAGATTCAGTGTAGAGTAAGAACTTGGGTTGACTGCAGACCCCGTGTTAAAAGCTATTTTAAAGAATATATTGCACAAAAGTTCAACATTACTCATTTTTGTTTTTTCTCTAATGTACGGCATGTTTTAAAACACCGTTATCATCTAAAAAAACCTTTAATTTGACGTCCAATTTTTAAAAAATGTGTCATATTTGTAATGGTCACCCTATAATAAACGTCATTCCGGATTTCAATCTCATAGGAACTTCTAAATGTCACTTACTATAACTACTATTCGTTCTTATTGCCGTAACTGGGTCAAACTTAGTGCAAAGTCATTACATAACTTCACTCGTGCTCTAGAGTATATTTACTCAGTTTGAGTTGTTACAGAACTTGTATTGACTATACTCGAGGACTCATAATTGCAAGTTTTCTTTCAGCACTTTTTCTTCGTACAACGCCCATTCTGATATGTTTAGAATGAATGTAACAGAAACAAATAGAGAGTAAATTATGAAGTCATTTGAGCGTATTTAACTTTTGTAAAAATTAGAATTTCTCTCGTTCGATTGCTCGATGATTTAGTAAACTAGACCTAACGAAGTTTCTTATAGACTTTGTTGTCTCAATGTCATATCTCACAACGAGTATCTTCGGCGGATAAAAGATACTGAAAAGTAAACCGGGACTCTTCCCAGCAACGTGTGTTACGTATCTCAGCATGGCGTGCCAGTATGTTTTTTTTCTGATGATGTAACTTGCAAAGGCCATTACGATACACTGAACGTTTACCAAAACCGTACATGTAAAGCAACAGTCAATTGTGTTTTCTGAATACAGAGTCACATGACGAAATATGTGGCAACGCAGACACAGCCCGACGCTAAGACAGTTGCAAAAAATTGGACAGCGCCTATGCACGCGGAGGGTCGTTTGCTTTGTCGACGTTCGACAGCGATGCATGTGCTCTCTCCTC